CGTTTCCTGTCGTTTTGTCAAAATCATGTTTTTTCTATTATATACTGTCGAGAAAAGATTCTTTCATACTGATAGTGACTCAGCTACCTGTAGTAACAGCTCCATAGTAGATGTATGTCCAACAGCCACCCTGACACATGGTCGTAGATCTACATCTTTTACCGTGACGTCAGCGTAATGCGTAATAAGTTCGCCCGGTCCGTCGACCCGACGTTGTTTTAGTACACATTCGCATCAATTAATTACGTTTAAACATGTTTTAGTAAAATTATACTGCATATTAGGATGTACATCAACGGTTCGCTTTTCTTCATTAGTATCTAGATTCTGCCTGTTCCTAAGTGTTTTTCAGATTTTCATGGCTAATTGTGGGATAACATATACTCTACCTTTGGTTGCCGAATGATGGCCCCGATGTCCAGACAAAGTTGTACAACCTGAAGCATGACGATTTAAAATTTTTAAAACCTAAACTTTAGGACATAATTGAAGACTTTGTACTGTCAGGGTCAGGCTCGAGACGTCCAAAATACCTTCATCAATTTTATACGCACAATAAGAAAGATGGTGAGTTTTTTTTGAGATAGCTCGTCGAATATTAAAAAAATCTTATTCGCTTCGAGAAGTTGACTTGCCTGGACAAACAGATCAGGGAGACTGACTTCTTCTCAAACATTGCCATCTATTCTTTAAAGTCCCTCTCAAGCAGAGAGGATAAAACGTTTAGATATTGAGGTCCGCAAGGTGTGCGGGGCTTTCATGAAAGAAAAATGTAAGGGAGAAATAGAGATTATTCCATGAAAAATGCACCCGAGCGATTTTTATTCACGAGTTGCGATGCACCTAAAAACAAACGAGTGCAGCGCATGAAAAAAAATTTAAAAATCGTCCATGTTCTTTCCATAGTATGATCCTTTTATTTCATTCGTGCTGCTGACCGACACATTTCAAAGATTGGAGGCCATTTGTTGCCCTCTTTTATGAAGTACTATGTCTCGTGTTTCTGATTGGACAAACGATGTATTTTCACAGTCGTTCGTTCAATATGTGTGAGATAATTAATAATACTAACCAATATCCTGCATATGGCCACTTTGTCCATATCAGCAGCGATGTGAAGAGCGGTTCCTGAACTATGTCCTCTGATGTTTGCATCACATCGACCAACTCGGAGTAAAGTCTGAAATTTTAATCGTAAATCGAGGTAGGCTTTACTGATTAAGCAATTTAAAATTAACCCATCTGCCTTGTGTTTTATTAACTGATTTGATTTGATTGTGCTTTGTTTGACTGATCGACTTATAAAGTGACAAGACGTACTCTGACAAAGTTCTCGTCTCCAGTTCGAACTGCGGTGTGAAGCGGTGAATCTTGGCTCTCATCCAGAAGATATATTTTGGCCCCAGCCCCAAAGAGCATCTCCATGATCTTCACGTGACGTCCCAATATGGCATTGTGAAGTGGATTTCTTCCTAACTTATCCAACAGATTAATATCTTCAGAACAACATAGCAGATAAACAAATAAATAAACAAATAACAAAACAAAGCAAAAACAATAAAACCAAGGCTTTAGTACAAAGAAATGGAGGCGAAATTCTGTGGCTGCTTTATGCTAAAGGCCTTTCCGTTAAAAAATTTGATCTCGACCTGTTCCCAAGGCTTATTTACAGAAACGGACAGCAGTTCTTAAAGTTGGAGAATTGTCGAGGAAAGACTTGCAAAGAAGGCATCTGCTAACCCAGGTGATGTGAAATCACCAAAATTTGCGTATTCTGAGCATGATAGCGAAAGTTTTTATTTGAAACTCAACTCTGCTCCCTCTCGAGAAAATTAACAAGTCCAGCCATTCGCGAAATTCTAAAAATATCAATTCATTTATTTATTCGATGTCTCCCTTGGCGTTGACGTCCTGACTGCAAGATGTCCCTAATTTAAGATTCGTTCAGGTTGTAGAATAGATCCGTGGAGATAACTCCTTTATGACTTTAAATTATTTATCTTATTTCCCATTTTAGTGCATGCACACGAAAGTAGAAAAGAAAAGTACATTTTTTGGTTAGACGTCGTTGTCATAGTTACGGATACCTCATCATGTCCTATGTCATAGACATTACTGCCTTGCGACTGGTGAGACAGCTGACTCAGTGCTTTGGCTCGCTGGCGGCGATCAAGGTCTGAACTCAAAAGTATTAAAGGTACTTCTTCATCACCAGATCTCTCTTGAGGTAAGTGGCCATTCATGCTAGAATCCATTGCAATCTGAGGGATTGGAGGACAAGGAAAGAATATTAACAGATAAAATAATACGTAAGTAAAATATGTATCAGTAGGAAAAATAAAAGCTATCGGCAAGAAAAATGGAAAGAGCATAGCGAGCGCCACTTGCCCGGAAGGAACGAGGGTGCAGCCATGAAACTAATGTCGATTCGTCATGACGTCTTTGCTGTAGTGACTTTAAACTCAGACCCCCGGTAGAATAATAAAATAATTAAAGTTAGCCCTTGTTTACATAGAACACCCTTTGGACTTTCCTGCATGATAAGAAAACTATGTGAATGCTACTTGTTAATTATCTTTTTGTTCGTTTGTTTTGTTGATCAAGCTGGAAATGAAGCGTAAAGAAGACGATTGTAATTCCATAAATTCAAAATTTGCATAAAGATACAGACAAAAATTTTCAGTAATACATGTACTTCGATGCAATTCAGTCGGTTACACTTAAACGCTTGTTAAAGAAAGCTTTGGACAATCTAGGATATCTATAACTTGCAAATAAACAAATGAGTAAACCGATAAATAAGTAAATCGTGCAGAAGTTTGCGGAACGAGTTGAGGTCTGGAACGTGTGTTGTTTTACGCCCTAATTTCTGAGAAACTACACAAACTGTTATATAAATAACCTGGTCTGTAATAGGAAGTTTGATAAATAACAAGTGAATCTCACCAACAAGTGTTGGAAACTTTCATGAAATATCAATGAGAGCGCATTAAAAGTTTAAAAGCAGCGATGTTTTGATTGTCTACTCATTAAGACAATTATTGCAAGTCTGCTGGTCCGCTATTCCACAAGTCCACTTGTCAGCAAATCAGTTAGTCAGCTTGTCAATGTGTCAGCTATCGATTTAGTCCATCACGACCAAGCGATTTTAGTTACAGTTACACGGAAGGATCTGGGTTCGAGATTAGTTATGGGATACTTGATAAGCCCCGTCAAAGATGAAATTTTCATGTGAAGACTCAGACATGATCAGTTTGAATTTTCAGCAAGGATTTTAAATTAGGGAAGAATGGCTGACTTGTGATCTCAATAAATACACCAGCCCTCTCCGTGCGACATTGAGGTTGCAAACTCAGGCGTATTGAACAGCAATGGTAAGACAAAATAAATTCTAACTGCTCTTGTTTCACTAATAAACCTAAACTTCCTTTGTTCTCCATTTCTAATTGTTTATTTTTCTCTCCTTTACAGCGGAGCACTTCAAATTGGTTTTCATCATGGTTGATTGAGTCGCACCTCGGCTCATGGTTGATTGAGTCTTACGGCAAAACTTAAGTTGTAAATATATATTTCTTAAGAAAAGGTGCTCACTATTTTTATTCGACACGAGCCTGTCAAGTTATCTACTCCAACAAACTTCTTCCTTTTCATGTTTTTAATGTAAAGGTCATTTTGTTCAAATATTATTACAAAAGGATTATACTTGCATCCGCTTGTGTAAACATGCCTTTGATATGCAAACACTTTGAAACCAATCATATGGAGTGTAATCTGTCAATCA